CTTTCCCTAATTAGTTTCAGTCATAACAGTACCAACATTATTTTATAGACATATATTCTTATCCGTAAAATTAGAAAACAAGTAAGAGACATTATTTCAAAATTATATATGTGGAGACACCTCATATAAAGTGCCTTGAATATAAATATTTTCGAGCACTTAAGGGAGAAATGAACACACCAGAAATTAAAAATTTTAATGAGTGGACCATTCTAGCTAACTAGTTGATCTAAGAATGAAATTTTTTAAATGTCTTAAATTTCAAAGCAAATGTTACTTTCAAGCACACTTGACAATGCATGAAATGCCTTTCACATCACTAAAAAGATAATCAATTCCATCAAAACAACTCATGCATACGTCTTTATTGTTCAGTAACTCTTTGAAAATTCTAGCCCACACGTAGTGAAATTTTACTGTCATCATTTAACTAGTTTTTGTCGGTCATTGTTTATTTGATAGATACATATACTTAGTTAATTATTTTGATTAATTTATAATTTATTTGATGTATTATAAAAAATTATCATGACATTCTAACACAATTTTATTATTAAAAATTATTTTTATTTATATTATAAATAAAATATATATTAGTATATTGTTAAAATGTATAAATATAGATTATAATGACATATTTAATATATGTTGTTAAATTTCATTCAAAATCAATATTAAATTTATGTATATGTTAAGTAGATACCTACATATATTATATTTATAATAACATTTTTTGTATATTCATATATGTAACATTTTTTATAATTATATATTTATAAATCTATTTATAGTTAAAATAAAATGTTAAGATATAATCAAGGTCTAATAGTGTTACAAAAAAAAAAAGAGGAACATGAGTCTATACACACAAATATCTCTATTAGTATGACCTTTTTGGTGATAACTATGAAAGCAAATTCTTGAGGACTTAGTTCAAAATAGATAATATTATATTAATGTATAGACATGTGTGTGGGAACCTTGTGCATTATAGTTAAGGATAAAAATATGTTAGGTCAAACAGGTTCTACAAAATTAAAGTATAAGTTTGACCTATTATATATCATAGACTTTTTTATAAGTCTATGTATTAGTATATTTAAAAGTTTATTTTACATTTATAATGTCAAATAAGTTAATAAAATTAATTTTAAATAAACCAACAAATCTATTATTAAATGCATGTGCAGATTTTTTTATATAATTTGAATAATAAAATAATAGTTTATTCTATTATTATTAAAATTTAAACTTTAAAATAAAAATAAAAAAATTAACGTAACATAGACAACTCATACACACACATATACATTAACTTATACTCACGCACATGTGTGATGAAATATGATTTTATACAAAAAAAAAATTATAAACATTCTTAATATTTTCATTTAGAATATTCTAAATAAATAACCATAAAGATAAAAGAAGAGAGCAGACGAAGATGCAATTGTTATATTTTTATTTTTTATTTCTTGATTTTTTATGAACAGAAAGTATAAAACATTTAAATGTAGTAAAAATATTAAAATATTGATAATTTGATTTTTCTTTTAATTATAATTTTATTTGTTTAATTATATTTTTAATATTATAATATTTATAATATTCTTTTATTATAT